TGAACAAAGAGGTCTTCGCCTCGACCCAGTCGATGAAGAGCACCCTAGAGAAGATGAAGATGAGGAGTATACTCATCAGAGAGGCGATCTACGCGATCATCTCAACAGAAAGAGAAGTTCATCCCTCCGAAAGTGACGATCTCCGTCCTGCTCGCACAAGAGCTCCAACCAGCAGGCCGAATCTTCTTACAACCCGATAACTCTCGAGGGAGTGATCACAAGGGAGGAGTTCGACCAGCTTAAGAGCAAGTTCGATGCTCAGGTTGAGGCTTTGAAGGCTAGGTGCGAGAAGAAGGGAAGCACGTTTGATGATGGCGACCTGGGAGAATCGCCATTCACCTCGGACATCTTGGAGGCTCCAATCCCTCCAAAGTTCAAGACTCCCACCATGAATCCTTATGATGGGTCTAAGGACCCAAAAGACTATGTTGAGGTCCTCGAATGCCTTATGAATTTTCAGGCGGCAATAGATGTAATCAAGTGTAGTGCCTTCCAGATCGCGCTCACCGGCAGTGTGCGCTTGTGGTATTGAAGACTGTCGGCTAGGTCGATCTCGACCTACTCCCAACTGAGAAAAGAGTTTATTAGTCAATTCTCTTCTCAGCATTATGACAGAAAGACAGCAACTCACCTCGCCATCATCAAACAGAAGAAGGGCGGGACACTTAGAGAGTACGTAACGAGGTTCCAGGAGAAGCAGCTGAAGGTCGCACACTGCTCCGATGATTCAGCCATGTGTTACTTCCTCACCGGCCTGGCCGATGAGACCTTAACAGTCAAGCTCGAAGAAGAAGCCCCAACCACTTTCTCCGAAGTCCTGCAAAAAGCGAAAAAGGCATTGGCGGCTAGGAACTTCTACGGACCAAAACTGGCCGACCTGAGAAGCAGATCGACCAGAAAAAATCCTAGCCAAGAAAAGAGGAAGGCTGGATCCAAGTCTAAGGACAAGGGGTCATCTTTCTCCAGTGGCCGAGCCGAGTATCGAAGGTCGGTAACGGCCCCAGCCGGAGGCGACCTTATGAACGTTATACTCCGACCACCAGTCCAATCTCTGAAATACTTACAAACATTGAAGAGACTGGGATGAAGAAACTCCTCAAGCGACCAGAGAAGCTCCGAGGAGACCCAGAAGCGCAACAAAGATAAGTATTGCCGTTTTATCGTGATCACGGTCATAATACATCAAGTTGCTGGGAACTTAAGCACCAAATTGAAGACCTCATTCAAGATGGCTACTTCAAAAAATTTGTGGGTAAACCGAGGTCTAACTCAGTAGAAAAGAAAGAAGAGAGGAAGCGTTCGAGGACGCCACCTCGCCGAGATGACCGACCTGCGGTCATCAACACCATTTTTGGAGGCCCAAGTGGGGGCCAATTTGGAAATAAAAGAAAAGAGCTAGCTCGCGAAGCCAGACGCGAGGTGTGCATCATAAGGGAGCAGAGGTCGACCTCTTCCATTACCTTCGACGATGTCGACTTGGAGGGGGTCCATTTGCCCCATAATGACGCACTTGTGATTGCTCCTCTCATCGATCACGTTCTGGTCCGAAGAGTACTGGTAGATGGAGGCGCATCTGCCAACATCTTGTCCCTTCCAACATATCTTCCCTTGGGATGGACCAGGTCACAGCTGAAGAAGAGTCCGACACCCTTGGTTGGATTTTCTGGAGAATCGGGGTGTATTGAATTGTCAGTCATGATTGGGCAAGATGATACACAAGCAACTCAGATGGCCGAGTTCGTCGTGATCGGCGGAAGGTCGGCCTACAAAGCCATTTTTGGGAGACCTATCATCCATTCGTTTCGGGTCGTTCCCTCAACACTTTATCAAGTCCTGAAGTACTCAACTCCTAATGGAGTGGGCACGGTCCAAGGAGAGCAGAAAACTTCAAGGGAGTGCGATGCCTCCGTGCTTAAAGGGTAATCAATATGCGCCCTAGAAGGACAAGCCAACTGGGACGAGTTGCTGAAATCCGAGGCCGACCTACCGAAAGTAGGTAAAAGAGAGTTATCAGCACTGATAGAGGAGCTCGAGCTTGTTCCTTTACTTAGCCCAGAAAGACAAGTAAGCATAGGAACCAAGTTGGAGACCACTGATAGGGAGGAGCTGATCAACTTTCTCAGGTCCAACTCGGACGTTTTCGCGTGGTCCCACGAGGATATGACAGGCATCGACCCAAGGATCATGGTGCATCGCCTCAACATAGACCCATCATTCCGACTTGTGAAGCAAAAAAGAAGACCTGTAAATAAGGAGAGGAGTGATATAATTGTTGAGGAGGTTAACAAACTTTTAAAAGCAGAATATATAAGAGAAATTTTGTATCCCGAGCGGCTTTCTAATGTCGTACTAGTTAAAAAATCCAACGGGAAGCGGAGAATGTGTGTAGACTTTACAAATTTAAACAAGGCATGCCCAAAAGATTGCTTCCCCTTACTAAGGATCGACCAGCTCGTGGACGCAACTGCCAGGCACGAGCTGCTCACCTTCATGGATGCTTACTCTGGATACAACCAAATCAAAATGCATGTCCCAGATCAAGATCATACTGCATTCATAACAGATCAAGGTCTGTATTGCTATAAGGTTATGCCCTTCGGCCTAAAGAATGCGGGGGCGACCTACCAAAGAATGGTGAACAAAATGTTCGCCAAGCAGATCGGCCGGAATATGGAAGTGTATGTGGACGACATGCTTGTCAAGAGTAAGCAGTCAAAGTCGCATCTTTCCGATCTGGCCGAAGCGTTTGAAGTTCTTCGGAAGTATCGAATGAAGCTCAATCCAGCCAAGTGTGCCTTTGGAGTCTCATCGGGGAAGTTCCTTGGTTTTATGGTACATAACCGGGGGATCGAAGTCAACCCAGAGAAGTAAAAGTCGTGCTCGACATGGAGGCACCCAAGACTCTGAATCAGCTTCAATGCCTAATTGACAGGATTGCAGCTCTAAATAGATTCGTTTCGAGGTCAACAGATAAGTGCCTTCGTTTCTTCAAAGTCCTAAGAAAGAAAGAACCATTTGAATGAACGGAAGAGTGCGAGCAAGCACTGGAGTAGTTGAAAAACTACCTTTGCTCGGTACCTCTGCTCGCCAAGCCATTGCCAGGAGACAAGCTCCACTTGTACCTGGCAGTGTCTGACAGCGCTGTCAGATCGGCCCTAATCAAGCAAGAAGGAGTACGTCAAAGTCCTATTTATTACACAAGCAAAGCCATGACCGAGGCCGAGACCAGATATCTCCAAATGGAGAAGCTGGCCCTCGCCTTAATCTCCTCGGCCGGAAGACTTAGGCCGTACTTCTAAGCACACACCATCGTAGTGCTTACCAACTTGCCCCTGAAGAATATCTTCCATAAGCCAGAGACATTAAGGCGCCTGATGAAGTGGGCAATGTAGTTGAGCGAATACCACATCCAGTTTGAACCGAGAACTGCGTTGAAAGGGCAAGCAGTGGCATATTTCATCGTAGAGCTCACCCTACCACCTCAGTCGGCCAAGTTCGACCTCTAGTGGATGATTTACGTTGACGGATCTTCCAATGAGAGACGGTGCGGGGCAGGAATCCTCTTGCTCGCACCAGGTGGCGAGCGGTTCGAGTGTGCTCTGCGGTTCAATTTTCGGACTTCAAATAATGAGGCTGAGTATGAAGCGCTTTTGACAGGCCTGCACGTTGCTAGGGGACTGAGGGCCATCCACATCAAGGTCTTCAGTGATTCCCAGCTGGTCGTAAATCAGATTAAGGAGGAGTATCAAACGAAAGACTCCCGGATGAAAAAGTATCTAAGCAAAGTTAGATCGTACCTCGTCCAGTTCGAGACTTACGAGGTGAATCAAGTTCCAAGATCAGAAAATTCCAACACAGATGCTTTAGCCAAACTGGCATCAGCCTATGAGACTGACCTGGCCAGATCGGTCCTTGTCGTGATCCTGGATAATCCTTCAATCTTGGAGCCAGATTTGATGGAGGTAGAAACTCCAGAACCCTCGTGGATGGATCCAATCGTGGAATTTATCAAACGAAATCCACCGCAAGACTCAAAGGCGCATAAGAAGATGTCACGAAAAGTAGCTCGGTTCATACTCCGAGATGGAGCGTTGTATCGACGAGGATTTTCCCTGCCTCTCCTTAAGTGTGTAACTCCAGAAGATGGGAGTTACATCATCAAAGAAATTCACGAAGGAGTATGCGGCAACCATTCAGGAGCCAGGTCACTATCGGCCAAGGTGGTCCGACAAGGGTATTATTGGCCCATCGTTGATCAGGATGCCAAGAAGTTTGTGAAAGCCTGCGATAACTGTCAGCACTTTGCAAGCATTATCCATCAGCCTCCCGAGCTGCTCACCCCCATCTCGGCCCCGTGGCCATTCGCACAATGGGGAGTGATATCATAGGTCATTTTTCTCTTGGCAAAGGGCAAACCAAGTTCGATGTTGTCGCTGTAGATTACTTCACCAAGTGGGCAGAGGTCGAGACGCTCTCTCACATCACGGAGTCCAGAGTCACATCTTTCATATTGACAAACATTGTATGCCGTTTCGATATACCGAACGCTATTGTGACGGATAATGGAAARCTGTTCGACAATGCAAAGTTCAAGGACTTTTGCAGGAAGCTGGGCATAAGCCATCTCAGTTCGTCCCCTGCGCATCCGAAAGCAATTGGGCAGGTTGAAGCGATAAATAAAATAATAAAACAAGGGCTCAAGATGAGATTGGACTCCAGGAAGAGGAGATGGGCCGAGGAGCTACCCGAGGTATTGTGGTCGTATCGGACCACCCTAAGAGAATCAACTAGCGAAACCCTATTCTCACTGGCCTTTGGCTCTGAAGCTGTCGTCCCAGTCGAGATCGGCGTGCCAACGAACAGGGTAGAGCAGTACGAGCCAACAAGAAACGAGGAAGAGCTACTCCTTAACCTTGATTTATTAGAAGAAAAAAGGGAAATGGCTCAACTACGCTTCGCGGAGTATCAGAACAGAATGACCAAACATTACAATGCCCGAGTTCGACCTTGAAGCTTTCAAGTTGGGCATTTGGTCCTCAGGAAGATTCAGAGTCATGTGGGCACCCTTGACCCAAGTTGGGAGGGACCATTCGAAGTCAAAGGCATAATCCGATTTGGAACGTACATGCTAGCCGACCTGGAAGGAAACGTGCTTGCGCATCCGTGGAATGCAGAGCACCTAAAGCGCTATTACCCTTGAAATGTCAAAATGGTCCTAAAATGGACTTGTAAAAATTTTCAAAGAGAGGAACTTTTAATAAACGGAGTTATTTAATTTCATGACTCTGAGTTCGATCAGAAATTAAGGCCACGAACTCCCATAAGACTTAAAACCGGTAAGGTAAATGTAAAAATTGATTAAATTCAAACCTCAAAACCCACGGATTCAAGGTGCGATGTCAAAATCAATTATGAACCAAAATTCAATCATTTGAACGCTCAAGTTAAAGGTGCGATGTAGAAAGTTCAAATTGTTTAATATTATCCTTTAGGCCTCCGAGTTCGAGGAGAAATATTAAAGTCCAGTAAAAGAAACTCTCAAATTCGAACCTTTTAAATAAAGCATAAGTAAAAGGTGCGATATGAAAAGAGTTCATCCCACCCTCAATCCTTTAAACCTACGAGTTATAGGTGCAAGATGAGATTATTCATATATGAGTTCAAGTTTACAAAAGTAAGTTCAAAAGCTTAAAGGAAAAAAGCGATAAAGAACAGACAGAGCTCGATGTGCAGGAGTGAAGAAACGAAGATTTCATTGATTAAAGGACAGAGCCAAGGCTTATATACCTTGCAGCTCTGCCCAAAGACTTGCAAAAGAAAAAAAAAACAAAAGAAAGAAGAACAAACAACAAGCAAAATAAGATGGGCCTCAGCTGCTCCCAAGGTGAGAGGACAGCTCGCCCTGGGAGCCTAGAAGGTTCATCTCTTGGGAGCCACCCTGCTGTGAAGGGACCTCCTCTTGGGTAGTACCGACCTCGACCCGCCCCTGGCTATCAGCTCCTTCATCTTCCATGTCGGAGTAGTCAGAGTCCAGCTCTCTGACATACTTCTCCACCAAAGACTGGGGGCCCGGAGTGCTGTTAGGCCCAGAGGCCAACTTTTCAGCGTACTTGTTAAGATCGCTGAGGTCGATCTGAAGGTCAGGCATGTCGGCAGCAATGCCCTTCATCAGGAACTTGAAGTCCTCATCACTGAAGTCCTTGGCGAACCCATCGAAGTCTGGGTACTTCCTGAATGCTTCCTCCAAGAGAACTCCGTTGGTAAGGCGTTCTTTCACCTCCTGGAGCTCGGCGGTAAGGCGCTTTAGCGAAGCGTCCTTCTCCTCAAGGGCCTGAGCCAGGTTGTCCTTCTCCTTAAGGAGCTGGAACTTTTCCTTCTCCAGCCCCTTAGCGATGGCGTGGGCAACTCGGAGGTGGACCTTGTGCTTTTCTTCCTCTTTCTTTAACAACAGAGCCTTGGCCTCGACCGCGGCCTTCAGAATCTCCACTTCGGAGCGAGCCTTCAAAAGCTTGCCCTTTCATAGTGGTGGCAGCTTCCAGGACAGCAGAGGAATTCTCCTTCTCCCTAGCGGCTAAAATTTCTCTTCCGTCCAGCTCGGCCTTCATCACCACGGCCTAATGAATGGAAGCGATGAACGCCT